TGTATTCGGGCCGTATTCAGGCAGCTAATTTATTAGGTCTGGTCAATCAATATGAAGTTTTACAATTTAACGATCACCAAGAAATGAAACAATTTTAAGAGGTTACGCGGCGGGTAAATATAGGTTAAAATTAAGATCTAACACCTCAATGCGGAGCGCTCATTAACAGCATTCCATTACCCCATTAATATACTCGATAACTGAGTATACCGCTGATTTTTTTCGTAATTTCTCGGGCACGCTTCTTTGTTTCACTGAGCGCGATCCCTTATTATTTCGCTCAGGCACCCTTGTGCCTCATCCATATCCTCTCCCCTGATGTCTTGCAAAATCTATCCAAAAGAATTAGGACATTGAGTTAGGAACAAAATGAGTTTACTCATTTTTGAGGAGAGAAAACGGAAGCGGCCATGTTAGTGCTGGTGGTGCCACTTTATTCCGGCTCTGTGTAAAAAGTCATATCCCCATACAACATGCACGAGCTTGGATCTACGGTTTGGAAATATCGCTCATTAACAGCATTCCATTACCCCATTAATATACTCGATAACTGAGTATACCGCTGATTTTTTTCGTAATTTCTCGGGCACGCTTCTTTGTTTCACTGAGCGCGATCCCTTATTATTTCGCTCAGGCACCCTTGTGCCTCATCCATATCCTCTCCCCTGATGTCTTGCAAAATCTATCCAAAGAATTAGGGACATTGAGTTAGGAACAAAATGAGTTTACTCATTTTTGAGGAGAGAAAACGGAAGCGGCCATGTTAGTGCTGGTGGTGCCACTTTATTCCGGCTCTGTGTAAAAAGTCATATCCCCATACAACATGCACGAGCTTGGATCTACGGTTTGGAAATATCCATTATTTCTATTCGTTTGCATTTTTACCTTGCACGAAAATAGCAATGCTGATTAGTTGCATGGAGGAAAACCACTACAGAAAAGAGGAAACTAAATAGAATATAGCCTACATGCCAAATCGTGGCACAAGAACACATTAGGTGATCGCTTGCAGAAATGTATGCCCTGGCAACTTGTGAGGTTGGATCATGGTGGCCATGCAGGCGCATACTCTCAAAATAACACACCTGTAGTTTAAAAATTTTCTTTCGCAAGGTTCAAAGAATATCGCAATGGGACTAACGACACACGCTTACTGCGCATGACATGTATGCGTTTAGCCTGAAATGATTCCTGAGAAAACTGAGAATAGAAAACGGAACGAGAGATAACTCAGTGTTGCCAAGTGATGAAGGAGAAGGATATTTGTGGAGCAAGAATAAGCCACAGCACTTTGAATGATTATTCACCAAGCGTGGACAAATGAGAGAATCTCAGCATCTCGCGAAGAAAATATTCCCACCGTTCATACACACGTTTGGCTTTCAGTCCCACCCGGAGGAAATGGAAAAATAATTGGTAACGTCACATCTGAATGCACACGTGACTAATTTTAATGAAAATGCATTAAGTACTATACCCATCTTGGGTCCCGTTTCTCACACACGAAAATTCAATAACAGATAATGCTGGAATAGTTTGATTTGTGGTTTTATGGGCTATTTGCCGCAGACATTTTGGTGAGCGTCGATTCGCTCGATTCGGCATATTAACATGACAGCTCTAGTGATTGGGTTTGCTTCAGAGAAAGTTCTGTGGGGAATAAAGCACCTCGTTGTCGAACGAAAAACTGCATGCCCCGAAAAGAACCAGTTATTGCAGAAATTTATATTATCGGGGAGTAATCTCGTTCTTCTCTCGCGCCGAAACTGGTTTAGGTTGCCCCGGCTTCGAACGCTGTGTATGAGTAGTCTGACTCGATTATTGGAACCTGATGATATGCACTCTGGAGATCCAGTGTGCTGCAGACAGTGTGGCGTGCGACGGTTCCAATCATTTGGTGGAGACTTGGTAAGGGATAAGCGTCAGGGTAAGTGAAGCGATTGATTGTCCGGCTGTAGTCTATCACCATGCGTTTCTTGTGATTTGTATTGCGGGTAACGGGCAGTTGTGCTCTCTACGGAGAATTTGATGGTTCGATTATGCCTTCGGTAAGCATTTGGTCTATTTCGGTTCGTATGAATTGTTCGTCTTCCGGTGTATGACGACGAGATTTTGTGGCGATCAGTTTGTAATTTGGAGCACGATTGGTGAATCGCGATGGAGATTCCAGTTTTTAGTTCAGAATAGCTGAACGTCAGATACCAGTCTGCACCAGTATGTTCACACTGGGTGATTAACCTTCCGATTGGGTGAACGCAGGTAGCTTTCCTCCGGAAACGCACTCATCAAGCCCACTTGCGCTAATTCAAACAGGTAACCGGTTTCAAACTGACGATCCAAATTACGTCCGCCGTCCAAGAGGAACTCCGTGAAAATATTCGGTATCAGTGATGCCTTGCCACATTGCCACTGTCCCAATTTGTCCCGTCACTTTCATTACAGCCTGACAGGATTAGTCATTTGAAGTGACTATGTGCGTTGCCCGACATTAGTTGTCCTTCCCACCTGTTAACAAATAATTTTGAACAATGATGAACTGTTACATGGAGTCTAGGAGTTATTTTACCGCCATCCCAAGGAAAATCAAATGGATTAGAATCCACGCTCGTGGTGTTTTCGACAAATACCTGGATGCCAAAGATGCAGTGTTGATAATCTTCGGCTGTATGACCTATTCATGAGCGTCGGCTTTCCTCCAGGCTGCTAATCCTCACACTCGCCTTTATATAGCCGTGCTCGATATGGGGTTAACATATCTGGAATTGATTTGATAGAACATGATCTCCGTCAACGATTGGGCGACTGCGTTCAATATTATAGACATCAATGCTCTCGGGTCATTTTCCCTAAATGATAGTTCGCCAATCGCTGTGCAGTGTGCTCTGCAAAAACTGTGGCTTAATATATTTAGGGTTGTGACCGCAAGCATTCAATATGTGGGATTGTAAATCGTGGATTACTACATGTGTAATGATAGATAGTATTGACGTTGCATGCCAGTGGCAAGTTCCCTTGTATATCCGCCCTTCCAGCGGAGTTTGACACACCAGCCGACCGTCAGCAGACCACAAAGTGGATCAAGACGCCCAAGATGGGACCTGTATATGACCCGACCGTGTTCTTCGCCAGCCCGCAGCACGCATTGAATGGCGCTTTGCTATAACTCGACGGAGTGTTGCGTCACCAGTAGTTGTTTGACCACTCCTTCGAAGGTTTGCAGCCATCGCCTCGTGTTCAGATACGTTTGGCAAGAGCGACCGGTCAGCTGAGTGCGAGGGAGCTTGTGCATCTGACACGGGGCACCACTGGCCACGTTGCAGCCATGGGAGAACAGGGATGATTCCTCAGTGAAATGACCGCAGACCAGAGTGTACCAACGTGCGGAACAGATTGTAGCTATAAAGACAGAATCGAGGAGGCACACTAGAACAAGCTGCTAATGCCGGTGTGTGCGTGGACATGCGACGTATATGATTTGGAATTTCTTTCGCAAAGACGGCTGGAACGATATCGTTTGAACGAAACGTTTTGTACTGAAACATTTTGGTACTCCCCACATGAAAGAGATCAACTTAGAACCTCAATATCAGGTCTTTTCGCTGTAATTTCCAGCATGATCCCGTGCAAACGTTCGTCCGATTGTGCCGAATTGACAGTCTAGGTGGGTCGTCGACTTGTCTGATCCATGCAGCGATTTACTGGCCTACAGGCCGCCTACTGTAGCGTATGAGTCACCTTCGGAGATGGAAGCTACCAAACAACTGAGCCTGGTTTAGCTTCACCAGGCTGTGGCTTTGCCGAAACAAATAGCAGGAACGAAACTTTGTAAATTTCTGCCCAGCCAATTTAATAAACACTAAATTTTTATTGAAGTTTGGCAGTCGCGCATTTTCGCTTGGGACAGAGAATCTTCGATCGTGATGTCGGATTGCAGTTGTCATCCTCATCGGCAATCTTCTGTCATATCCGTGGTGACGATATGCGGGTCCGTTTAATCTGCGCGCTACATGAGGTTAAAACACATTTTTTCGTAGATGGTAGGACTGCCTCCGGATAGATCTGGTCATCTTGGTAAATAGTATAATGGAGTCATATTTCTATGAGCTTTGATGCGAGAACGATATTCCCCACCTAAGCATGCTTTACCTCTGTGTTCTACAACACAGGTTTTCGTAACGGGGCGAAGTAATTCTATCAGTTTGGCTGATGATAAAATATTTTCACAGGCGATCATTGAAATTGGTGGTTCGTCAGCCCGATGTAAATTAACCTCCATATTTGTCATGTTGCAAAATATAATTAGACGTGTGTGCTATTCTGAACCTTGTTCCCCTACCTCGACCATTCTCTGGTTAAGCAAACTCGATGGCAAAGTTTTGATCCCCATAAATCCTAGAACCTTGGACAAATTGTGTCGACATGCGTTCAGTAATGAATTACTCCTCAGATTCTTGCGTGGCTCACATAATTTAGGTTATTTCATAACTCTCCGGTGACATGTGTATGAGTCCACTTTGAAAGTGTTTGTATTGTGTCAGAATACGTTCGATGCGTTTGGCTGAGTGAATCCGCACAGTGGTCTGTCTGGCTTGCTCCGTAGGCTAGTTCTCTGATTTTGCACGCTCTCATATGAAATGAAAGCCGTTCCTGATTGGCCACAAAGCATTCGTCCAAATGTGACGTTAGATGAGGTGGAGGTGATTGTTTAAAAACGCCAAGGGTACCTGTTCACACAGTCAGCAGGTGTTCAAAGGACAAACATGCTACGGTGACCAACTATACTTCTGGTGGTCTTGGGACGTAAAATGAGTGTGCGAGGTGATGTGAAGCCACATGGATATATTAGGTTTGAATTGCCTCCCATTAGGTGGAGAACATAAGTATCGTTTTCTGCAACGAAATCAATGAATAACGTGTGCAGTTTTTTTCCATCTACCTGTGCAATCGCATTTGGATTGGCTTGCAAGCTACACATAATACTTACATTGGTTCTCTTTCAGTATGTCTGTTGCCAGTGGACGTGGACGGGCAGAAAAGATATGCCAGTAAGTTGCGTACCCATTTAAAATAATTATTGTTTAGTAAAACCGAATGAATTTAAACTCAACAAATCGACCATGTAGATAGTGGAACCACTGGAATTTAAAGCGAGACCCTTCAACCTGCAAGCATGTGGCCGGTTGGTCAGTCTGAAAATTGGTTCTGACTAATCCAACTGAATCTTACGTTTTGCTCTTATGTAGTAAACTAATTGG